CTCTACCAGGAGGCCGCTCTCGCGGCTTTTTATAAGCACGGGGTACATCGAAGCCCTTCAAAAAAGCGTCGAAGCTCCGAACTGCTTTGAGACTTCCTCTTCGCGTGAGCCGCTCCCAGGCCCTGGCGTCGCCTGTGCCTTGACTGTAATTAGCTTCGCAGGCACTGGGCGGGGGAGAGGTGCAGGTGTTGCGGGGTGCGCTGCTTCTAAGGTGGAGGTGCCGCCGGCGATACCAGGCTCATCAATCCGGGATCATCGTGCGCGAAGTCTCGGCGAGATGTTGAACAGGAAAGGCGACGACTGCATCCCCGCCTCCGCCACCGGCTGCTCAGGCCTGAGACCTCAGCGCCAGTGGAAGAGAAGGAGAGAAGGAGAGGGAGAGAGTCTGAGGGATTAGGAAAAGAGACGAGAAAAACAAAAAACAACAGAAACAAAGAAGGCGAAGTGTCTCTGGAAGCTGCGCCAGGCGTCCACTGGCCCAGCAGCTGCGGCCGCAAACCCTTACCTCAGCGCCGGGAGCCGACGTTCTAGGGGGCAGACAAAAAATCCTGTGCTCTTCTGCACTCTCTCGTGTGAGGGAGGTTTTTTTTTGGGGGGGGGAAGAATGAATTAATTATGCTTGTTTATTAAGACGCCATCTTCTTTTTTAAGCCTTTTGAGGCCATGACGAGCAATGCTGCCCGGCTCCTGTGCAGTGAGTAGAGGTGAGTAGCAAGGATTCGGTGTGCGAGCGAGGCCATGAACCAGTACCTCCAGCAACAGCCAGCGCCTCAAAGGGCTCTCGGCGGGGAGGCCAGCGCCTTCGTGATCCTTTCGACTCAGGTACCTGGCACAACAGGCGGCACGGAGCCCGGTGTCTTTTACCAGCCCGAAGCCAGCTTCTCACCATTCAGGCAGAGTCTCCCTATCTTTGTGAGGCTGCGATGGCTTATCATCAGCAATTTGCGCAGCAGCTCATGCAGATGCACCCGCCCGGAAAATCCGCTCTTGCCCACCGCCTTGCCTTCCTATCGGCGTGTCTCGCGGAAGGTACGGAAACCAGGGAGCTTCCTGGGGCAAGTCCGGCAAGGCCGCAGCCTGAGCTCAGCGTAGGCCACCGTAGGTTTTTATGCAGCGGATGCTGGCGGGCCTGCCGAGGGCAAAGGCTTCGGCCGCGGACTCGGAGTGAGGTCGGAGTTTATTGTAGAGTCGTGTAGAGAGTGCGCTTGAAGGAAAGAGTAAAGATGGCAAAGATGGCAAAGGAAAAGCAGCGGGCCACCCACTCAGCTTCGCCTGGAGGCTTGCAGAGCGGCCTGCATGTTTTTAGCAAACAGACTCTACAGGAGAGCCCGCGCCATTTTCGGCCCCAGCGCCGGCGAGACGCTCAGAAGCGCCGGCGGGCTCAGTCCTGCGGATTTTTCACCTGGCTGTGCCGAGAGGCTGACGGTGCGCAGGACGCGGGCCAGGCGGGCCAGGCAGGGACGGGAGACCGGTTCGTTGGGGGCACGCCCACAGTTTTGGTCAGGGAACTTCGCCCTCCGAGGGCGGGCTGCTGGGCTCCGAGTGCCATGGGCCTCGGTCGGAGAAAAAACAACCAAACCCCGCGATTCCGAGGGCCGACTTTCAACCGGCAAAGCCGCGGCTCCTGCAGATTGTGGACCCAAACAGCGGGGCACCGAGGAGAAAGATCCATTGCAGCGACGCTCATAAAAAGCTCCAGGCGGACAGCCGATCGACACCATGGGCATGAATTTTGCCCCGTGGGGACCTCGCAACAAAGGTAGTACCAGTGAGCATTCAGGTACATTTGTTCTCACGTGCTTGTTCATTTCATTTTTGTTGTTTTTGATCTGGCCGTTTTATTTGATTATTCATTTTTGTTCGCTGCATGGCTTGCTGCATTCTGCTCCTTTGATTGATTCCAGCTATTCTTCTGGTACCACTCACGTGAAACTCTTCTTGCGTTGCACGGCTTTTGCTGTATTTGGTTTAGCTTTTCGTTAGCACCACCTTCAGCGGCTGTTGCATTGTCGACCTATGAAGAACCATGTCGTCGAAAGGAGGTGCTGCAACACCAAAGTGAACCGCTTCCAGACCGGTCATTGGCGGGGGAGGGGGGGGGCAGTTGCGCCACCGAACGAAAGAAGGTGCTGCAATACGCAGGTGAATCCTTTCCGAGCCTGTCATTCCATGGACGGGTTGGATGTGCCCCCCTTGCCTTTTTTGTGTTCTTGCGAGCCCGGCGAGGACCGGATTGAAGGGATGTGATCAACTGCCATCGTCTTGTGAGGGGCAGGTTCATAAGATATGATCAACCACCATCGCATGATGAGGTGGAGGGGATGTCATGAACCACCATCGCTTAACCAGGGGGGCCGGTTGAAGAGATGTGATCAACTGCCATCGCCCAGTGATGGGGCAGGTTTATAAGAAATGTGATCCACGGCCATCGCCTTAATGCACTGGTGGGATGTGGAGGATCGCACGGACGAGCGCCAGAGGCCGAATATTTGACCCTGCCAGGACTTTAGACTTTCGCGCATTTCGAAGACACAACTTAGGCGGAACCGGTAACCCTTTCAATGAATTCGGCCTCCCCCGGTAAACTTAGCCGGCTTGGAACTGTCTGCACTGCCACTGCATGGACTTCTACAAGCCGCATTCCTGTTCTGTGGAAATAACATGGCTTGAACCGAGAATGTGCACCGCACCACATCGGGAGCTGCTGGGCAACAGCAAGCAATAGCTGAAGAGATCATCCTAAATTGATTCGCGAGCTCGTTATTCTTGCAGGCGAAAGCCGACGACGCCGCTGCAGATCACCAATCCTAACACGGGAGAGGCACCCTGGGTCATGTCTCACGAAACTTTCAGCCAGTTTTTGCTGATCTCCTTGGAGGCCGTCGCGATTGAGGCGAGCTGATCGGAAGAATTCGCTGTCTTTGGGCCCTTACTCTGGCAACAATAAGCAAGCACGCATGCAAGACTTCTCGCTTCAGAGAGGTACAAGACCTCCTTAGAGCAGTGCCTCCGCCAAGTCATTGATCGATCATTGTCATATTATAACATATACAAGTCTTCAAGTACCTAGCCCATGGCACTGCTTGCTGCAGCACTTTCGGCAGAATGACATGCCGACAAAAGTTGCAGCCAAGCCCTGCAACTAACTGTAAAGGCAGCTTGCCCTTACAGTCTCAGCGAACCCGCATGAACACTGTGGGCTACATGTCCTCCCAGAGACGTGCACGAATAGCCTCGGATGCTTTCGCCGCGGCAAGTGACCATCGATTGAGATTTTCCGCGCCAGCAAAGGCGAGCCGAAGAGGTTTGCAGTGTGCGATGCATGTGCCACCATAATGCCTTTAGAGCAGTAGACCCGGTGACGATGAAAAACTTCAAGTTCAGCTCAGATCTCACAGAAGCAGTTGCTCCAGACCAAAGACCGAAAGGCCACAGCAACACCGCTCAGAACCTGCCTAAGCCCTGAAGCCTTATGCCGTGTGTCTAGGACCCAGCAATAGCGAACAAGCACCGCATAGAGGAGAAAAGCGATTTGATGGTGCCATAGCAAGCAGCGAAGCCGCTGTGATGCACAACGTCGGCACCTCGAAAAGAGAAGCCAGTGAACCTCCGAGCAGCGCAGCCACCCAAGGATGAGACAATCTGGGCGTGTCGGATGCTTATCCGGCGAATCCTGAAGCTCAAATTCTGGAATTCACTGGCGAAAGCTGTTTGAGGAGTTCGTTTCGCGGAGTCTTCAGGTCTGAGCAAGGACTTTTGCTCCTTCAAGGTTCCCTTAGTGCAGACATGTACGTGCGCCATCGGCTTCTTTGGTCTTTAGTCAGTAGCTTGACGACGTCTCAACCACCGCTCTCCTTGGCTCCAGAGCTCGAAAGGGTTCTCTGATTCATCAGCTTTACTCTGGGCACACTCCGGCACCAGCACCAAGGACCAAAGTCTCAGCCGGATGCACACAGCGTCGGCCGCACCTCCGCGTGTATGCGCAAGTCAAGCAACAAACACAGGCAGTACATAGCAGCGCTGGTCAGATTGTCACACGTTGGTCCCGAGCGCGTGCGCTTCAGATTGGAGGCCGGCAGCCGAGCGGAAGCAGTCTTTGTACTCCTGCGAGATTGTATCTCCTTGTTGAGGTGTGGCAAAGGGCCATGCCTGGTCCAGGTGTGGTTTTTCACGTTGTGCGGGCGCGTAGGCACATTCTGTGGAACTGGCCCAGAGAGCAGACCTGCAGATGTTGAGTGAGCCGCCAAAAAGACGCCCCGTGTGTGTCCCCCGTGTGTCCTTTTTGACCTCTCCTTGCCTGGCAGCCATGAAGTGGGTGGCCAAGAAGACCGAGGGCGAAGACGAGCCCGCCAAGGCGCAGTTAACGCACCGAAAGGGCCGTGCAGCCGCCAGCAGCCCCCCCATAGCCCCACCCCCTGTCGCAAAGTTGTGAAGTTCAGGGGAAGGACAGAAAGGAGGCCAAGGGAGGCCCGGCTGTCTTAGACTCTTGGACGCTCGGGCTCTTTCAAGCTTCAGCGCTTTTCTTGACTCAGCCTCGAAATGGACAGCGAAGACGGAGGAGGAGCCGAAGGCTGGCATTTCCTGTCGCAGAATGTTCGCCGCAATGTTCACAGACTCAGGGCAAGGGTGATCGAAAGGGCGAGGGGAAGCGGAAGGGAGGCAGGGGAGAGGGCCGCGGTAGAGGACTCTTGGGCACTCGGAGTGCTTCTCGGGGATCTTGTGCAGGCAAGTCGGCCAGAGCAGAGGAGGAGGACTGGAGTGTGGGCCTTGGTCTGTCTGCCCGCACCTCCCGTACTCGCGCACATCAATATCGCGATATCCCGTCATGTCGCATCCCAGCTCTCGGAGGTTGGACCTGGACGGCCGACAGCTGCGGACGCCTTAGCGAAAGGGGGGGTGGGGAGCAGGGAGGAGGTCGGCAGCCTGTTCACTCAGACTCCGACTGGTGGAGCTGGAACGACTGGGTGGGAGCCTCACCTCGAAGTGCTTTGAGCCGACATGTGACTGCGAGAACGTTTCCTGCTTCAGGGCTGGGACACGAAGCCCAGCAAGGCACAGGCAACGTGTGTGGGAATACTGTCACGAAGTTGCTGTGACAGGGAGAGGCAAAGGAGGGCAAGGGTAAGGTGCGGAGATTGCAGTGACGGGCGGCGGGCTCATGCACGGCAGACGCGACAGGAGAAGGGCAAGTCCAAAGACTCTGGGAAGAAGGCTGGGTCTTCTTGCTGCCAGCGCGGGGCTAGGGACCGGTGACCCCGGCCGGGACTCCAGGGCAAAGGAGACTTCAAAGACAAAGACGACGGCCGGGCTCTCTTTGCAACTTCTGTGGTGCTGGAGAGAGTCTTCGCCTCCTCCCAGGCGACGAGAGGAGCAAGGGTAAAGGAAAGGGAAAGTCCGAGGACTGCACCGTGCCAACATGGCATCGGCAAGCGCGAATTCAAAGGCGCCGCTTGAGCCACTTGACCGCTTGAGAAGCGGGATAATGCTACGTGAGTTCTTCGTTTTACTTTTTTTTGTTTTGAATTTGTCTTTCTTTAAGCCATGTTGCTAATATAATTTCCATTTTATACTTTTTACACTGTATTTTAGTACACATTCTGTGTCGTCTCTTATTTCATCAATTGTTGTGTTGTATTTTGTTACCCATTTCTCTATTTACATCACACTGAATCCGATTTCCTATTCTTCTGTTATTTTCAAAAATCCAGGGTACTTTATACTATTGGCTATGCGTTTTATTATTTCAATATTACTCTAATGATTTTCATTAGAATTGTTAGGGCCGAGGTGTCTTACGAAATCTAACTGCTTTTGTTGTCTATCTGGTTTAATGTCTGCTCTCTTGTTTATAAGTTTATAAGTTTATTGAATTGGCATATTCGAATCTACTATGGGTTTCTTGTGTATAATTCTTCTAAGAATCATCTCGTGTTTGTATTTTGTATTTTCTGTGTTTTCATTTCTTAGTTTATCGAACTCATGATATATCCACATCTTTTACACTTGTCATGATCACCTAGGATCTCGTTGCATCGGCTTGGATCATCCACCTTCCACTGAAGGGGGGATATCTGGGGGCAAGGGGAGAGGGTGGGGCTGTTCGCACAGTAAAAATGACCGAATTGCAAGCCCATTTTACACGAATTTCTGGACATAGAGGTTGCGGACCCGAAATCCAATTTTAAGCGGGCCCCACTAACCCATTAACGAATATGTGAAATCTCCGGCATGTTGGAGATGTTGCCTTCAAAGAGTCAACGTTGCGAAGTTGGAATCTGCAGGACTCGAAAGGCAAGAAGGGAGGTAAAGGTGCCGCGGACATCCGATCTGTCTTTGCATCCCGCTTGTGAGCAGCACGCCGTGCCAGGCTTCGCGAAAGGGGGCGAAGGCAAAGGCGAAGGAAGCAGGCATGCGTCGTTCTTGCGGTTGTGGCCATTGCTGCATATCAGCTGCGTGCCATAGAGCCATGTACTTCCAGGA